AGGTACTGGGTTCAGGCTTGGATCTTGAGAAATGGTGGTAGAACCTCCTCATTCTTTTGTTCCTTTTCTCCTGTCTCAAAGTTGCCCCATTGTGCCATCTGACAGCTGAATCAGCAGGGTCAGTGGCCCAAAGAGCAGCGGAGCCAGGTGGATGCCAGGAACCCGACGACTGGTGGAAAGGAAAGGTATGGAGGACGGTAGGAGCGGCCGGGGTGAGCAGGGTGAGAGAAAGAGAACAGGACAGATGACGGAGGACAGGGACGGAGGGTAAACACATTCCAGCCCTTCCCTGGAGACTGACTGTGGTCACACCCCCCACTAAGCACTGAGAGCAGTGTCTCTGATTGTACATTTCCCTCCTGACACTTCTGGTCACCAAAAACACGGGGTCACCACAGCAAGCAATTCTCTGCAACACTTGCTGAATGTCCCACAGTTTAACTCAATACAGGCAGATAGTGTCAGACCCCGCAGGTTAAGGGCTCAGTCCTACATTACTGTCTCATCCCCTCCACTTCAGATGCCAATCCCAAGTCCAGGTTGTCACTTGTGTTTCTGACTGATTGGCTAAAAGTTGGAGGTTCCCATGACTTCTTCTTGGGTTTGATTAATTTGCCAGAGCAGCTCACAGAACTCAGTTCACCCAGGAACACAGTTTACTTAATGTTTACTTATTATAAAAGGATGTGATAAAGGATACAGGTGAACCTCCAGATGGAGAAGGGCAAGGCATGTGGGAAGGGGCACAGGGCTTCCATGTTCTCTGCTAGCAGACCACTCTCCCCATGTCTCCACTGGTTCACCAGCCTGGAAGCTCACTGAACCCCATACTTTTGGGATTTTTACGGAAGCTTCATCATGTAGGCATGACCGGTTGAACTCCATTTCCAACCCCTCTCCCCTCTCTGGAGAATGGGATGGGACTGAAAAATTCCAAGTTTCTAATTATGGCTTGATCTTTCTGGTGGCCAGCCCCCATCAAGAAGCCTACCCAGAGTTACCTCGTCAGAAATTCCTCTCACCCAGGAAATCCAAGGAATTTAGGAGCTCTTTGTCAGGAATTGGAGTGCAAGACATAATATTAGAACAAAAGATGCTCCTAGTGATCTAATTACTTAGGAAATTATAAGGATTTCAGGAGCTCTGTGCCAGGACCTGGGGGCTGTGACCAATATATATTTTTTCTGTTATTTCACAGAAATCAGTTTGGTTTAAATATCTATCAGGAAGGATGATAATGAGTATGAGTAAATATGGCTCTTCGGCTTATCATCGATAGCACGTGAAAGCTATCTAAACGTGGACTCCCACTTCAATGCTTTTAAGAAACTTAAACTGAGGTATAATTTAGGTACTTATAAAATCCACTTGTTTTAAGTGTGCAACTATCATAATTTGGTTTTAAGATGCAATTTTAAGATGTAAAACACAAACATGTTAGACAACTTGTCCTCATTATTGGGCTGGAGTAAGATCTTTAGGGATCTTAGCACTGAGCAGGGCTGGTTTGTTTCTCATCCTAGTTCTCCTGGCTGCCCTTCTCTCCCTCCCTCTTAGTGTGTTATGCGCTCAGGGCACCTGCCCTCAGACCTTGATAAGACAGTCACGGAAAATGGTGTAAGAGATCATCACATTCTTTTGTGGCAGTGTCCCTCAGTAGAAGGGCTGTCCTAGGTGTTATGGGCTCACACTTATCTCAGCCCCACCCTGGGTTCTTGGAGATTCAAGCACTCAGCCAATAAACATTTATTTGTAACTCTTGCTTCGTGCTGCAGGTATAAAGATGAATAGGAGCTCATCCCTGCCAGACTGAAGCACCTTTGATACAACCTCAGGTGACTAAGCAGCAATCAGTGTTATTGGTCTGACCCTGTGACCCTGTTTCAGTATCTCAACCTTTGCCCGTGGGAAGTACAGATGCCCCTCTTGTACCATGTCTGAGAACGGGGAGTCTTCCCCTGTTTCCTGGCCTGGCATTCCCCCTCACTTCTCCCAGCCCTCCTCAGAGGGCACCTGCTCAGCAGGGCTTCCCCTGGCCTCTGAGCTAACATTTCTCCTTTCTTCCAACCCAGAGATGTCATCAACTCCCTTCCCTACTTGCTTTTCTTCCTATACCCTTTTCATCTTCCAACATGCAATTTATTTTACTTATTTATTATGTTGTGTATTCCCTACTTCCTCCATCAGAATGTAAATATTCATAAGGGCAGGAATTCGGGTCAGTTTTCTTCTCTGTCCTAACCTAAAGCCAAGTTCCCATACATAGTCCATACTCAAGGAATATGTGTTGAATGAATTCATGAATATCTGACTCTTATATTCCCCAGTGCTGGGAGTGGGGGTGGGGTGACCCTGATAATCCTAGTTCCTCAAGACCTGGCATGCTGCTTTGATCCAATTTCATGCCAGCATGTGGGCAGTGCCGAGATATAAAGGGTGACGCCAGGAGCTTTGTGCATGCTGCCCACCAGCGTGCATCTCTGAACACTGCTGGTGCTAGCTGCCTGGCCCCTGGAGCTGCATCCCTGAAGAATCCTTCTGCAGGCTGCCACCTGATCCTACCCTGACTCAAACTGGTGCTGCCTACCCAGCGATGGGCCCCAACTAGTCTTAAACACGGGCCTATCCCAATCTGCCTCAGTTAACCTTCTCTGCATGACCATTTTACATGACTGGACAGAAGGCAGAACACCTATAAGGCTGTGTGGATTAAAATACCAGCCAGTGTGAATGAATGAGTAAAGATGGAAGTTACATTTATTCCAGTCTTGAATTAAGTTCTTTTTTTAAAAATACATAGTTTTGATGATAGAAGGCCTCTACTTTATCTATAAAGTTATTCCTGTAAATATCCTATAGATTTATTTATAATTTATCATCATTGTGAAGATAATACCCCCATATCCACTTATAATTGGTTATTGCTATAAAGAAAATTGCTTTGTTTTTATACAATGATCTTATATCTAGCAACCTAAAATTCACTAAGTGATTTTAGAACCTCTTTTTTTTTTGAGAGGGCATCTCTCATATTTATTGATGAAATGGTTGTTAACAACAATAAAATTCTGTATAGGGGACTCAATGCTCAGTGCACAATCATTAATCCACCCCAGGCCTAATTCTCGTCAGTCTCCAATCTTCTGAAGCATAGCGAATGGCAACATATGAATTTTGAGGGGACACATTTTCAACTCATAACAAGGTAAGAGCAGCTACTGGGAAGTCCATATTCCTATAAAGCCCGGAGTGAGAATTTTCATGTCATGTTATGTTTTGTTATCCCACCTACACTCACCGCCCTCCCAAACTTTTTTATTTAAATGGATTTGGAAATAACTCGTAAGTCCCACTCTGGCTGAACTGTAGTAAGTATTGGGTTGTAGCAGATTTGTGAAGAAGCAATTTAGAGAAAAATCCATGAGAGGGGATGTAGGAAGCATGACTCTGGAAGGGAGAATAAAGTCCTGATTAGTCATTTTAAAGTTGCATTTACTAAGCACTGACTGTGTGCAAGGCATGAGCCCTCTATTCTGTATGAGGCCTGGGGTGTGTGTGTGGATGAATGAAGTAAATAAATAATAACTCCAGTCTTTAGGGACCTGTTAATGTTACAGGAATGTGAACAGTTAGCTATGATGTAAGCAGAGTGCTACACATGCTAAATAAAAGAGGAACCAACTCCTAAGAGTTCACGGAAGGTTAAAATGAATCTGCTTGGACAAATCTGAGTGAGTTTTGAAGAGACAGAGGTCAGGGTGAGAGGCTTCTGTAACGTAAATATCCTTGGAAACTTTGAAAACACCAAACCTCTGAGGATTGGCAGTTATAAATGTAGGTCATTTCGCCACATACGGTACAAAGAAACTGTGAGGTGAGGATATGGAAAAGCAGATCCTCTTGAAATCTTGGGGGGATTTGGGGCTCTGCAGTACTATGGGCCACAGTATGAGTGAAGCCATTTGCTGACCATGAGCTACAATGGGAGAGGCTCAGAAGAGACCAAGATGTGTTTAAGCCAGCTCAAGTGGAGTTGCTGCACATTGTGGTCTATGGGGGGAGTGTTGGTGCAGCGATTCAGGGGAAGTGTGTGGGCTTGGCCATCGGGAGTCAAGTTCTTGGTCACCATCTACTGGTCAGGTCACTTTGGGCAAGGTGCTCAAACGATGGGCTCAGTTTCCTCATCTGTAAGTGGGGATGATTGTACTACTTCTAAGGTTGTCGTATGGATGAGTGCAAATACTGTGGGTAATGGTCAACAACACCATCTGGGACACTGGCTCAACTGTCATTCACTAGCAAAAAAGAAATTATTGTTGTTTACTGATCTTGGACTTGGTTGATATCCTGAAAGTTCCTTACCCTGTAGCAGAATAATCTGTGTTCTTTAAAGTAGTCTATCATGTGAGCAGGCCAAACTGCTGAGGGAGAGATGAAGCTTTTGAAGGAGAAAAGTCAGGATCGAGTTAGGATGCTCTGCTCCATGCCTCCTCCTCCCAGCACACTCCACCCACCTGGAAGGGAGGGAAGTTATCACAGAGAAAAGGCATAAAGCTGGAAGAGGTGAAAAGTATACGGAGAATGGCCTACCTAACCTGACCTCTACAAGGGTCTGACCTGTGGGTGACTATGGCCAGAGATGGCCATTTCTCCTCCTGACCACTAGAGGGTGCCCTGACTTGATCCTCTGGGTCCGGAAGGGCCAGGAACAGATACGTTTGCCTACCTTGTGTTGGAATGAGCACAGAAGATAGTGGCTCAGAGCCCGCAGAGTAGGGAGAAGGGGCAGATGAAGGCAGGTGTGGAGCTGGAGCAGGTACAGGGGTGCCAGGTCACCTTGAGAAATATGCAGGCTAGGAATGGAGTACAGAAAAATAGTCTTGGAGGGATTGGAGCCAGCTGCTGGGACCAGTGGGGAAAGGTACTGGGTTCAGGCTTGGATCTTGAGAAATGGTGGTAGAACCTCCTCATTCTTTTGTTCCTTTTCTCCTGTCTCAAAGTTGCCCCATTGTGCCATCTGACAGCTGGATCAGCAGGGTCAGTGGCCCAAAGAGCAGCGGAGCCAGGTGGATGCCAGGAACCCGACGACTGGTGGAAAGGAAAGGTATGGAGGACGGTAGGAGCGGCCGGGGTGAGCAGGGTGAGAGAAAGAGAACAGGACAGATGATGGAGGACAGGGACGGAGGGTAAACACATTCCAGCCCTTCCCTGGAGACTGACTGTGGTCACACCCCCCACTAAGCACTGAGAGCAGTGTCTCTGATTGTACATTTCCCTCCTGACACTTCTGGTCACCAAAAACAAGGGGTCACCACAGCAAGCAATTCTCTGCAACACTAGCTGAATGTCCCACAGTTTAACTCAATACAGGCAGATAGTGTCAGACCCCGCAGGTTAAGGGCTCAGTCCTACATTACTGTCTCATCCCCTCCACTTCAGATGCCAATCCCAAGTCCAGGTTGTCACTTGTGTTTCTGACTGATTGGCTAAAAGTTGGAGGTTCCCATGACTTCTTCTTGGGTTTGATTAATTTGCCAGAGCAGCTCACAGAACTCAGTTCACCCAGGAACACAGTTTACTTAATGTTTACTTATTATAAAAGGATGTGATAAAGGATACAGGTGAACCTCCAGATGGAGAAGGGCAAGGCATGTGGGAAGGGGCACAGGGCTTCCATGTTCTCTGCTAGCAGACCACTCTCCCCATGTCTCCACCGGTTCACCAGCCTGGAAGCTCACTGAACCCCATACTTTTGGGATTTTTACGGAAGCTTCATCATGTAGGCATGACCGGTTGAACTCCATTTCCAACCCCTCTCCCCTCTCTGGAGAATGGGATGGGACTGAAAAATTCCAAGTTTCTAATTATGGCTTGATCTTTCTGGTGGCCAGCCCCCATCAAGAAGCCTACCCAGAGTTACCTCGTCAGAAATTCCTCTCACCCAGGAAATCCAAGGAATTTAGGAGCTCTTTGTCAGGAATTGGAGTGCAAGACATAATATTAGAACAAAAGATGCTCCTAGTGATCTAATTACTTAGGAAATTATAAGGATTTCAGGAGCTCTGTGCCAGGACCTGGGGGCTGTGACCAATATATATTTTTTCTGTTATTTCACAGAAATCAGTTTGGTTTAAATATCTATCAGGAAGGATGATAATGAGTATGAGTAAATATGGCTCTTCGGCTTATCATCGATAGCACGTGAAAGCTATCTAAACGTGGACTCCCACTTCAATGCTTTTAAGAAACTTAAACTGAGGTATAATTTAGGTACTTATAAAATCCACTTGTTTTAAGTGTGCAACTATCATAATTTGGTTTTAAGATGCAATTTTAAGATGTAAAACACAAACATGTTAGACAACTTGTCCTCATTATTGGGCTGGAGTAAGATCTTTAGGGATCTTAGCACTGAGCAGGGCTGGTTTGTTTCTCATCCTAGTTCTCCTGGCTGCCCTTCTCTCCCTCCCTCTTAGTGTGTTATGCGCTCAGGGCACCTGCCCTCAGACCTTGATAAGACAGTCACGGAAAATGGTGTAAGAGATCATCACATTCTTTTGTGGCAGTGTCCCTCAGTAGAAGGGCTGTCCTAGGTGTTATGGGCTCACACTTATCTCAGCCCCACCCTGGGTTCTTGGAGATTCAAGCACTCAGCCAATAAACATTTATTTGTAACTCTTGCTTCGTGCTGCAGGTATAAAGATGAATAGGAGCTCATCCCTGCCAGACTGAAGCACCTTTGATACAACCTCAGGTGACTAAGCAGCAATCAGTGTTATTGGTCTGACCCTGTGACCCTGTTTCAGTATCTCAACCTTTGCCCGTGGGAAGTACAGATGCCCCTCTTGTACCATGTCTGAGAACGGGGAGTCTTCCCCTGTTTCCTGGCCTGGCATTCCCCCTCACTTCTCCCAGCCCTCCTCAGAGGGCACCTGCTCAGCAGGGCTTCCCCTGGCCTCTGAGCTAACATTTCTCCTTTCTTCCAACCCAGAGATGTCATCAACTCCCTTCCCTACTTGCTTTTCTTCCTATACCCTTTTCATCTTCCAACATGCAATTTATTTTACTTATTTATTATGTTGTGTATTCCCTACTTCCTCCATCAGAATGTAAATATTCATAAGGGCAGGAATTCGGGTCAGTTTTCTTCTCTGTCCTAACCTAAAGCCAAGTTCCCATACATAGTCCATACTCAAGGAATATGTGTTGAATGAATTCATGAATATCTGACTCTTATATTCCCCAGTGCTGGGAGTGGGGGTGGGGTGACCCTGATAATCCTAGTTCCTCAAGACCTGGCATGCTGCTTTGATCCAATTTCATGCCAGCATGTGGGCAGTGCCGAGATATAAAGGGTGACGCCAGGAGCTTTGTGCATGCTGCCCACCAGCGTGCATCTCTGAACACTGCTGGTGCTAGCTGCCTGGCCCCTGGAGCTGCATCCCTGAAGAATCCTTCTGCAGGCTGCCACCTGATCCTACCCTGACTCAAACTGGTGCTGCCTACCCAGCGATGGGCCCCAACTAGTCTTAAACACGGGCCTATCCCAATCTGCCTCAGTTAACCTTCTCTGCATGACCATTTTACATGACTGGACAGAAGGCAGAACACCTATAAGGCTGTGTGGATTAAAATACCAGCCAGTGTGAATGAATGAGTAAAGATGGAAGTTACTCCACACCATGCTGAATGCTTGAATCCCCCCCAAACAATTGTTTTGGAAGCAGCTGAAAAAAAGAGTCAAACATTTTGGAATAATTGCGAATCCCTGAAATTAGCTCCTTAAAAGGAGTCTTTAAAGTCACTCTTGTATAATCATTATATTTCTAGGCTAAACTTTCATAGTAAAATCTTGTGGGTGTTATAACGCACCATCCTATTCCAAGCCCCTGGTCCACATCAGAGTTTTCAATACTCTCATTAACTAATCATTGAAAACAATTTTTTATCTAAAAATTGGGAGGCTGAAAATAAAAACCGCTGAAGTCTTCTGCTTCAACAATACCTTAGGCTTTAAAAATACACATATACTTTCACTCCTGCCAGGTGTGCAATAGAGGGTACAACTTCAGGGGACAAAGGGACACAGACTAGCCACATGAATGCTCTCCTGTGATCCAAGGAAAGAACACTGACACCGACAGAGCCATAAGCTGTCTCTTGGTGACCAATTTCTGCATGTGCTTAGTGACAGGACCCTGGAAACACTTTATTTATGGGACAAGACAAGGAGGGTCAGTTGAGTACATTATGAATTTTAGTAGGTCACATAGAGCTCCTGTTGGTTTATAGGGTTTCTTTTTCATTATCTTGGAAGAAGCACCTCAGTGAACTATTGGGAGAGGTTAGAATGGCAGTTCTTTCCTTGTGGACAAGGCAGTAGGGCGTAAATTATGGCCACTGCATTCCAGCAGTTGGGAAAGGCTGCGCCCTCGGCCGGATGACTTAGGGACCCATCAGTTGTTGTGCTGGAGATCCAGGAAAGTTGGCAAACTCTGCTTGACCAGAGTCATAGACTAGAGTTTTGGGTCTTCGGTCCACATAGAATCATTTAAAAGGGCACTACAGAGCACGGAAACCAGCCTCTACCAGAGACCTCCGTCCTCCATTCTCCTGTTTTGCAGTTAACACAAGAGGCAAGAGACCAGCTCTTCAGATTTTGCTGGAGGACGTAGACATTCCAAGCATGTCCCTGAGGTAGGAGTTAGGCTTCAAGGTGGAGAAGAGGGTGGGCCCCGAGGCCCTCTTGGGTCGCACCGCCCCGTAACCCTCAGGACATGCAGCTCCCTGCTTCTCTCCTTACAGCCCAAGCGAGGGCTCCAGCTGGCGGGGTGGCATCCGTTCAGACCTCTTTGGCGGCGTCCTCCTCCCAGGAGAGCAGGACCCTGCCCCTCTTGGACCTGGGGAACTTTTAGGGCCAGCCCGAAGTTGTGGCCCTGAGACGGATCGAGAGCAGTTTCGGGATCGTGACGACCTCAACTCCTCTCTCCCGGTTCCCGGTCGCGTGCTGCCGGCGGCTCCCCGCCAGCCTCGCCCCCGCCGCGGCCCCGCCCTCTGCCGGCGGGCCCAGCCTCCTCGAACACCTGACTCCCCTCAGGTTCCCCTCGGACCACGGCGAGTCCCCGCCGAGGCTGGGACACGGCCGACAGCGCGCGCGAGGGAGGCTGGGCAGCGCCTCGCCCGGGGGTTGCGAGCGATCCCCGACCGACGGACGTCCGGGACGAGCGGGGCTGGGGCCGGGGCCGGAGGAGGTGGAGCTGCCGGCGAGGGGCGGGGCCTCGGGGGCACAGCCCGGCCTCCCGCCCCGCCCCCTCCCGTGCCTTAGTCTGGGCGGTGACAAAAAGCTCCCGCGCGGAGCCGAGCGCTGGCGGCGGGTCCGGCCGGGAGCCCGGAGGACGGCCGGGCAGGCGGGGTGCCTCCCGAGGGCCGAGCCGGGAGCTGGGCTGCAGGCGCGGACGCCGCGCGTCCGGCCAAGCGTGGGGCGCGCTGCCGGGACCGGCCTGCGATGCTGCCGCCGCCGCCGCCTCTGTAGGGGCTGCCGACATCGCTGCGGAGAGAGGCGGTGAGTTTCGGTCTGTTGCTCTGCTCGGCCCTCCGGGGTCGGGGCCGCGAGACGGGCGCGAAGGGATGTCTTCGGCGCCACCGCGGCCGTACCCTGAGGCCGGGCAGCGGGAAAGGGGAGCTGCCGCCCAGTGTACTGGGTGCTCCTTTTGGACGGTGGGTGGCCGCGGGGTTCCCGAGGAGGGGAGCGCGGGCGCCGCGGGGCGGCCCCGGGGCGCGGGGAGATGGCCCCTAGAGTTGCGTTTCTGCCGAGCGCTGGCTGAGTTCGGCGGCGGCTGGGCGCTGTCGGCTGCTCCGCTGAGTCCTCGGATGCCCCCTGGAGCTCCGGTCCGAGGGAGCTCATCTCGTGCCCGCGCCGCGCGCGCCCCTGGCTGTGCACGTGCGTGCGCGCGCGCCCCAGCTACGCCCCCACCCCGCACACACCCGGTGTGGTCACTTCGCCAGCCCCTTGTGCTCCTCCACCCCGAGAAGTTGCCCTCGCGCGCCCCTCAGCGTACCCAGAGCCCCTCCAAGGAGGAGGGTCCAGTGGCGGGCCAGATGTTGGGGGTCTTTTGTGCGGACCCACATGCCTAGGGCACTTGCTCCTGAAAAGGCAGTGGCAGGACAAAGCAGGCTGGACTTGAGGGACCTGCTCGGGAGGGCGGCGGCCACCGATCCAGTCTAGGGTGGGGTGGGGTTAGGTGAACGGTGCACGGTTTTGGAAAGAGTGGAGGGATCGGCAAAACGGGGACCAGTGACTTGATAAGGTGATGCACTGGGGCAAAGGAAAGAAGGATGCTCGCGAATGCAGCGCTGGTGTGTCTGCCTGGTCTGGAAGGGTGACTGGGCGCCCTGCATTCCCGTATCAGCGGGTTTTCCTAGCATATTTTGCTAATGTGTGTTTGCCCCAAGACGTTATTCTCTGCCTTCTCGCATTTCTTTCTGAGGGATTACCGTTGCTAGAAGCTCTACCACCAGAGGAGAACTTGGGGGCGGGGGAGACTGCAGAGGAGTGGCGGGAGGTGGTTATTTATCCTGTAGAGACAATTAGGAAGCGTTACGCCCCCTCCACGGTCCGCCAGCCCTCCACACCTCCGCCGCCCTCCTCCGCCTCCCAGTGCACCCACTCCACAGCCGCTGGCTGGGAGGCTGCTTGGATTTCTCTCTGGCGCGTATCTAACCCTGACTGCATGTATTTTCACTGCAGGCTGAACAAAGCTCAGCTTCCTGCTTGTCAGCCTCTTGCCTCCCAAACGCGTACCATTTCCACTTGATGTCATCACGCAGGAGGGGGTGAAAGGGACTCGGTGACAGACTCAGGTAACCTCTAATAATCCGGGTAGCCGCCTGGGTGTCTCTGGGTCTTTGGGGACAACAGCGTTTGCATGGGGCTGTTGGGGTGGTTTCTCCATCACACCACTCCGTTCTTGTCTGTGTGGAGGAGTGGGGCTGCTGAAACCCCTGGTTCAGAGAAAGAAATTGCAGATGACTTTAAACCTTCCTTTTGGAGAAGTCATTGAGGGCAAGGTGCTTTAGGGTCGTATAAATTCCAACTGGTTTCCTTGATGGGAATTTTATATAATCAACACATAGGCAGTTGTATCTGAATGTGGGGTTTAGATGTATCTCTGGTTTTCTCTCTGTAGTAATGTATTTTGGCTTCAGTCTGTAAGTGGGATATCGATTGTTGAAAAGGTATCATTGTAAGGCTAATGCTCAATTAGGGCATTGGTCAAATGTAATAACCTCCTTATGAAATAATGTCTCTCACTCATCCCTTCATTGTAATAGTGTTTGCAGTATCGAGGGGTACATGCCAGCGGTAAGTTTACTGGGAGGCAGAAGGGAGGGCTGTCTGTAGGGCAGAAAGAACAGAAGGACAGCGCTTTAGTTAAGTTTCCGTTTACACAGCCATGAACCATTAGGCTCTCAGTCTGCATTTTATCTATAGGTTGTTGGTTCTTCTCCAAAGACTCTGGCCTGTTCTTTTCTTTCTAAGGATAGTTCTGTTTTGATGTCAACCTACTCAGACCTGGGGTTATCTTGATAGAGCTCAGTGAAAAGGTAACCTTCAGTCGGATCAGGGCACCTTGGCATTGCCATCATCTCTTAGAGGTCACAGTCCTGGCATCCTGCACAAGCAGCAGGGAATAAGAATGGGTATGGAAATAGACTCGGTGGTCTTCTGGGGAAGTAGGGATTGCTGAGGGCCAAAGGCTACTGGTGCCTCTCTCTTGCACTGCAGCGGCCACATGGTGTCTCCGGCAGATTCTGTCTTCACCATTCCTCCTGCCCCCAAATCCCTTGAAAAATAACATTTAAAAACTTGAAATATTTGTCATTCACCTCCAGAGTAATTTTGTTTTGAAAGGCGACTTTAAAAAACATAAGTGACACTAGCTAGCATTTATCCTTTTACTCAAAGCATTCAGGAATCCACCAGGAGAAGTAGATGAGTTATCTCGTCCCAGCCGAAACAAAGGCAAATGCTTTTACAAAGATCAGATTTGCAGTGGTGCTAGGATAGAGATACTCTGACAAGTAATTTTTATGTCAGCAATAATGCAGGGTGTGTGCTGTATTCTTGGGAGAGGAAAAGCCACGTGATGGGGGATAATAGGGAGTGTAATAATGCAATAGAAACAAAGGGTGTGGTTTTCTTTAATAGAAAAAATAAATACCTCACACACAAAATTGCACATGGGAAAACAGCTGCCTGCGCATGTAAATGCACATCCAAGAACAAAGATAGCCATAGTGCAATGTTAGGTCTCACTGTGGTTTTAAATTGTGTATAGTAATAAATTGTAACAGTGTTGTACTGATGTTTAATTTGTTCTTTAGGTGGAGGCTCCCCACCCCCACATGTCTGCAGTAGTGTGTTTAACTTTAGGTTGGGGGTGCCCTAGAGGTTATTTGACCAACCTTTGCCCCCTAATGCCTGAGTCCTTAAACTGTTCATTTAATTCATTCAGCTGATGTTTATCAAGCACCTGCTAGACAATAGGCTCTATGAAAGGTGCCAAAGGGTGGGGTGGGATGGACACATAAAAATAAACCACCTTCAGGTAGCTTACAACATGATGGCAAAATGAAGACCCAATTCTAATAACTCCAATGGAAGCCTGAGAGGAACAAAGAGTGGTATTGGACTTCTGAGGCAGGAGCATATAATCACTCAGCCTCTATTTGAATGCCTCTTTCATTGGGAAACTCACTACTTCATAAATGACTGGACCTGTTGTCAGAAGGTGACCTTTTCTTTACCCTCTCAGCTGAATTCCACATGAATGGTTAGATTGCACCATTGTCGAGAGGTCATTCTGTGTTCATTCCTTACTCCCTCAGAGCTGTTTGGACCTGTCTATCCTGCTGGCACCCTCTACATTTCAAGGTGTTACTCAGTCCCTGCCACATTTGAATTTTGAAGCAAATCCTGCTCCTCTGTATTATCTGATTTAGAAAACAGATTCAGAGAGGACTTTGCAAGTTTCTGTCTTTATTAAATGGTGATGTATCAGCAAGGTAGGTTAGGTTATGCTGCGGGAACAATAACCTCCAAATCTCACTGGCTAAATACAATTTCTTTTTTTCTCACCCTGTGTGTTCAGCGTGATCACCTGCCCCTCGTAGTCAACCCAGGGACCCACACTGATGGGATGGAAGTGTGATCTTGAGTGTGCTTGATCTTTCCCAGCTGCACGGGGGAAGAAACTCCACAGGATCTAGCCCTAGCAATGGCATGATCTGACCCAGAGGGGCTTAGATTGCTTCAGCCAGAACTAGTCCTATGATCCCATTTGACCACAATTCAATATTTCTTGTACTAAAAAAGACAGAACTGGATTCTGAAGTGATAGGCCAGGAGATAATTCCAGGGCTATTTCTAGGAGGTTCTATGTTTAACATTATGTAATAGGCAGGTGTCACTTACAGACTTGCCCTCACTATCTGCCTCCTGGGTCAGACTTCCTGAGTTTGGAACAGCTCAGGGTAGAAAAAGAGTAGCAGAGGGCTTCATATCCAGGAGGTGACCTCCTACAGCACAGATTGCAGGGCAACCAGTAAGTTCTAGAGGAGGCAGGAATGTGATAGGGTGGCCTTGGGTCACTCTGGTTACTTTTGAACCAGATAGAGCCCATCCAAGACCTCCAGGAACCAATTCCAAGTGCAAGGCTTGGGCGGAGAGTGAGGCCCAGATTGAGGGAGAGGGAAAATTAAGCTCTGAGGGACCAGGCTTGAAATATGTTCGGGAAGCTCCAAAATCCACTGCTGTCTTTTGTTTGGCCTCTGAGTCCCTACCAGTCTAATTTCATACTGAAGTCAGCTGTCCAGGTAGAGGACACTTGTGGAGTAGGTGTGGTCCCTGGCACTGTCTTTGGTAGTATGGGAGAAGCCAGAAGGGAGGAAGGCACTGGTATTTCTGCTGTTTCTCTCATGGCGTTGTGAGCTGCATTGTGAGTTGTAGGAGTCTGCCTCAGTGACTGAAATCGTAATTTGGGTAAGTCCTCTTCTTTGTTGAAGGATTTTCTGTTTCTAGTTGACTTACTGCCATTGGGAGATTTAAAGACAGTGGCCTCAAATAGTGTGTGTGCCCCCTGCTCCCACATCTCCTTTAATTTCCATCTGCATTGCCAGAGCCTAGCCAGGAACCTTATTTCTCTCTGGGCTATTAGAATGGGTACCTTTACCTCCTGGCTTTCCCACTGTGAATCCATATTTATAACATCCTGTCACCATTAGGACAGTAGGCCATTTTAATTGTTCATTCTCTTGCTTAGTAACCTGCAGCGGCTTCTGTGTTTTGGGGATGAAGTTCATATTCTTTAGTTTCCCTTTTGAAAATTTTCCCAGCTTGACCCCAAACTTCCTGTCCAACCTTGACTTTTGCTTTGCCTGACTTTAAAATACAACATTAGCTGGGGTGGTTAACCCACTATTCTCCAAAAATGCTTTGCATAGCCTCTCTTAATTTTGGAATTTTCTTCAGCCTACAATATCCTCTCTGTATACCCCATCCTTAAAGGTACGACTCGGCTCTTAACTCATAAAAAATGTAATTCCATCACTTCAGCCCATAGCAGTCATTCACTCCTCCAAAGTTCTCTGGCAAAATCGCCTCCATCTCTCATTACATTCAACAGTCATTCATTAATTCTACAAAGGGCACTTACCATAGATTGTCTTGTATTAATCACCTAAGAATGAAGTGTCTTTTTCTGTCTAATGGCAAAGAACAGAACCACTCGAACTAGTTCTCATAAAGGGATGTGTATGGATGATGTCCCAGGATGTGTTCACGTACCCTAAGCATCCTGATGAATGGGACTCTTGCAATAATTGCTTAGCTGGGGGAGAGAGTGGGGACACAGTTCCTTCCAAGGGGCCTGTGAGCTGACAGATGTAGAGATTGAACCAGCAGGATCTCAGGTTCTCTTGCAAGCTCCTTTAAGATGAAGACCGGATGAAGTTTGGACCTGTTTTGTATCCCTACCATGTTTGTACAAAGTAAAGGCTCAATTAATATGCAATCATTGGTGAATTTTTGACAATACAGAAATGATTTTAACTCACTGTGGCGCACAGCAATTATAAATGCTTTTGGCCTGTATACTTAAAAGAAGTTAAGAAGAGAGAAACTTATTTTTAAGAGCTTCCCCCACTTGCATGAATAATGGCTAAATGTTGAATCACATTAGAGTTGCTAGGCTGCAGTGTGCACACCAGTGGTCTGGAGGTGAATGTTCTCATTGAGGGTTATCACTAACAAAATAAGTGGTTTGTTTTTCAACTTGAATTTGTTGTCTCCTTCTAAAACAATAAAACAACTCACAAACCCTCTCCTTGGTCACTTACAGCAGGCAACATTAGAACTGTATACCCAGCAGGCCGCCCCACAATCTCAAGGAGCAGGCTCTGCTGTTTGGGTTTGACACAGTGGATGGCAGTTGCCCACAAATGTTCACCACATCTCCCTTCATAACATAAAGAAATAACTTGTAGCTGTTAAGTACCGTGTGATAGATGTGATAGACATCTGGTTTACCTCACCTCTTTTGATTTTGCAGTATCTGTCATTCTCATGATAGAAGCTCTGATAGGAACTCTTCTTTAACACTCAGAATGCTTGATCATTATGGATAGTGTTATTCTGAAAGAGGAAATGTATTCAGCTGCTTGGAGAAAATGGCCAGGAATACATTAACATCAAAATAATGTTCTCAGTTTGAGGGATAATGAATGGAGCTGAGATAAATATCTCAAAAACAGAGTATTTGGTGTGATATCCTTTTGTACTTATATTACCCTGGGGTAGATTT